CATATCTTGACACGCAACAAAAATGCGTTGTAAGGCCGTTTGAATTCACGTAATATGTAATAACATGCCTTTACAAAATTTCGCTAGATTCTACATATTGTATATAGATTCGATGCTTATTTAGTACTGCTGTAATTGAGCTTTTTGAGCAACATAAGCTTATGATATTAATAACACCTGATTTAACCCTCTCGTAAAATCATTATTGCGTATAATGCTACAAAAGCACGCGCAAATAATACATCGTTTTTTATTATTCAGGAACTCAGAATGGTTGAATAGAATTCATGGAAAAATTAAGGTGATTGACAGCTGTTCCTGATGCAGTTAAATTAGGTTTCATTAGAATCAAATTATTGTGCAGAAGAAAAAGTGTTCCATGAATAATCTCTGTCTCGAAGCTCCATCTCATTCTCTTTTCCTCGTTCTTTCTACGTGCATGAGTCTGCATTCCATTTTGACTCGTTTATTTCTTCATGATAATCTCATTCCCCAGTCCTCATCTCTGTTCCTCTCCCGCATCTCTCCCCTCCCCCTCTCTCTCTCTCTCTCTCTCCCTCTCTCTCTCTCTCTCTCCCGCTCTCTCGCTCTCTCTATGACTCCTCCCTGCTCCCCTCTCTCACCATCACTCTCCCCCCACCTCTTTCTTTCTCACGCACACAGGCAAGAGAGGCATCCACCTATATACACACAACTCCATATCCATACATGAATCATCTTTCCCTCTTTATGCTACTCTCCCTCCCATCTTGTAGACCTACGATCCTCATCATTATGATCATCATCAATTTCATGTTCCCATCGCTTCATTTCTCTCCTCTCTGACGAAGCATACTTCCTTTGTTTTCATCCTTTCTGATTCTGTATGTGGGCGACCTTTTTTTTGAGCGACGTTAAATTGAATAGCAATATGAAGTGCGTTGATCGGCTAGAATAACTGCGCGTCCACTCGACGAATAGGTCTAAGGTTTTATGGGACTACACCAAACTGGTTTCCGGTACGTGAGCAGGGGTTAATGCTTTACCTCCCTCCATCGTTTGTTCTTGAGGAGTTGGACTGAACACGACGGAGCTAATTACCGCCAGGGAACGGGCTGTCACTCCATATAAGTACCCGGTTGGAGATGCGACACATACCAAAACGCTTTCCTTCCGACTTTAAGACGGAGGAGAAGAAGAAAAAAGTGCAAGAATATGCACACTTGCCCATTCCCTTGTCCAGAGGAAGTATGTATGGTATGGTTAGGGCTGATTTTATTTTTAACCGAATGTACCTGCTAAAGGTTAATTGATTCGCAAATCTAGGCGTTTGTCCGTTAAATCACATCACGGGCGGAAGAGGATCCTATAGGTTACCAAATAAATGAGGCCGACTCCACGAGGAATAATATATTCGTCGCTGGAGAGGGCGGGTGGGGTGCGAACCCCTCCCCCCCCCCCCTATATTCACAATTTCATGTTGGCATTATTTTTAAAGCATTGTCGTCAAATCGCTCTCCCTCCCGATTTTTTGATATTTGTTATTGTTGGTGAAATCATCTAATGAAGGAAGAAATTGAAGATTTGTTTATCGTTCTTCTCTTTATGCTTGATGGAAATTGCGGCTAAAAATAGCCACAATGGTGCGACACCCCCGCTCAAAATCACTGGACGAGTCACACCCTTAGTGCTACAGTCCATAAATAGGATTACATCAACGATCTCACTGTTATCAGCATTTCTGACATTTTGACCTGTTTTTAAACATGATCATGTTCAGAGTGGTTTGAAGGTTCAAAGGTGCAATGTAATAGGGCATTTGCGTAATGTGACCTTTAGTGCTCTTTTACGAATTATTTAATTCACCTGTTACGAATAATTGTATTTTAAAATTGCATTTTTTACATGTTGTTAGATAGGCGAGCCACGATGTTTGTTTTATACCTGGCAACTACTAATGTATTCAATTGAATTATGAATATTGAGATACATTTAATCGTTATAATTATAGGCCTAAGTGAATGACATAATTTGTATCGAGACGCTTCACGAAGGCATATGCGTAATTTTGGTTACATTACTAAAAATGGAACAATGCGAAATATATAAGAAAAAAAATAAAGTGAAATAGACTGTTAAATACGCTGTTAGAACGGTGTTTAAAATATCACTGTTTAAAAGAATGTTGTTTAAAAAAGTAAACGTTGTTCAAAATCGAAAAATCAGTGCTCGATTGGCTTAAACAACTATCTATTTTAAAAAAAAATTAATTAAACAGAGTTGTTTAAAAAGTCCCGGGGACGTCGTTGATATTTTCTCGATACGCGATTGCAATTTGCGCACACACATGCGATATGCACAAAGTACGTACATAATACATGCATGCAAGTATGCAGTGCTAGTGTGCAGTGCAGACGAAAATGGCGGAACACGGGGCAAGGCGACGACTTGGTTCTTCTCGGCTTCGCCGATGGGGTTTAGGTGAAGTTATAGAAACAAATAATAACGTTGTCTGTCACTGCCATGAATATGATGAACAAATGTTGAAGTAAATTGGCAACAAGCTCTGCATGTTACAGTGTATAAATCGTTGTGATTATTGCAGGAGTGGTTCCAGTAGGTCATTTCACAAATTCAAGCAACCAGATAATAACTATTAAACAGTTCTGTTTAAAATTTAAACAACTTGCTTTAAACAACCGAGTTGTGCAATTTTATTACTAAACAACTGTTGTTTAAAAGGTTTTCTAATTTTTAAACAACTAAGTGTTCAAAATGTAAACAACCTTAATTTGTTTAATTTTTAAACAACAGTTGAGCGATTCACCGGTTAACTCGGGGTTGTTTAAAATTTTAAACAACTTGTTTAATTTTGTTCTAACAGTGTAGACTGTTAAATAGAGGGGAACAGGAAAGGCTGGGATTATTGAATATACATTTCGCCCAAAGAATACAATACCTTGTGACAACGCAGCATATGGATATCGTCGACACTGTTCTACATTTTGCTCAATATAGTTCATGGTCAACTATTCTATGTGCACAAAATGAAAGAAACTGGAATTTGCAAAATGAATTTATCAATTTGTTCATTTAGGGGTAATACAAAGTTTTGGGAAATTTTGGAAATTGGGTGGATACTGATTCTTTACAATGTTGATATATTTGGATGCCCCTGTGGATTTATTATAAGCACTAGAAAATTTAGCCCTTAACCCTAAAAAGGCCGGGCTATTTGAGGTCTTAGTATGGCCGGGGGCCATTATGGCCCCCCCCTTAAGATCTCGGCCGTGAAACGGCCGATCGCCGCGAAAATGTGCACGCATGTCAAGTGAAGTGTATAGAATTATGTGATAATTTCAATTTTTTGAAAAATTCACTCATTTGCATATTTATGGTAATTTATGCAAATAAAGTCATAAAAATCACATTTTTACCCATAAATCATATATTATTCATATTTAAGCATCCCTTTTCACTACATATATTCATTAGACCATTCTGAATAATAATATGACAAAAAATTTCGAAGAGCCAGCTTATTCCTTATGTTATCCCTTGTTTTTGTAATTTCTTATGTATTTCACTGTTTTTTAACTTATGTATTTCATTGTTTTTGTTGTTTTATTTCATTTCTTACTACAATTCAACTATTTTAACTCCAAAAACAACCACCTAAACTTTAAACAAGACCCAATAACCCATGTTTGATCTGTTTTAAGGAAAAATGACTTTTCCATATGTTTTGTACACAAATCACGAAAATGGGCGATTTTCTGGCTGACATGCAAAGACAAAAGGTCACGTGACCTTGTAACCGCAGGTCCGATTTTCAAAAAAAATCTTTTAAAAGTTGCGCAAGACTCGAAAGAAAAAAGTCAGCAAGCGGCGGGGCGCCATCCGTATGCGTTCCCGAGCAATCGGAAAACTTGTGGAGGGGGGGGGGGCATAATGGCCCCCCGACCTTATTAGGGTTAAAACACTTCTGCTTTTGAGAAAAATTGAATATAAAGATTTACCGGTGCTCCCGGTAAATGTTGATAAATTTCAAAAAGCGCCTACGGCGGTACACTGGTAGCTGCGACAATGATAATATCAGCGTAGTTATGATATATAATTTCCAAACGGGAATAGCTTATCGGTCGATATTATTAAAGAAACATTGTTTCATAGTTTAGTTAATATCTTGACTTTGAGAGAGAGCAATACATCATAAAGATGTTATTATTTACAATTTCATAAGTTTAGACTCGATTTCATCCGCGACAACGATCACTGAATATTGTAGGATGTTATATGCTTTCAATATGTTCATTTGAACCAAATTTATGATCCCATACCAAAACTTTGTATTATCTTTAAGATACAGGTTTGTTAAGGTACTTATGTTACATTTGCAGGACAAAAAATGAAAAGGTTAAATTCCAACAGCATTTGAAAGATAAATTTAGAACTTCCCTCACAACGAAAGGGCTTGAAAGTGGCTTTTAGTTGGAAAATAACGACCATTAGTTGTCGAATCGACTTAGGTGATTGCAATCACTTAAGTAATAGTCTGATTTTCAGACCATTCTACCGAATGGTATTACATTTTGTGCTGCACAAAGATTCAATCAGTTTAATTTTGGCCATTGCAAGTAGTGGGTTATTGATGTTGACAAACGCTCCTGTACCTGTTACAGCTCATTTTATGTATTGTTATTAACCAAAGAAACAAAGATGTCAGTCATTCACTCAATAGTGTCTGGCAGTGAAGTCTAGAAGGTAAGCGGGTTTCCTTGCAAAATTTGAATACTAGGACACTGCTAATGTTTAAATTCCACAGATGGGACATACATGATATATTCACAATTATTGCAAAGTTCTACTGAATTTGATGTTGGCTGCAAAAGTGACATAGTATCTTAAAGTGTATTAAAATTATGACTTATATGGTTCCATTAAAGGCAGAAAAGCATTTTCTGCCGTTCGTTTAAACGAATGTTGTTAAATGATAATATATTGTCCTTCTTTATTTGCAGACATTTAGGAAAGACTTTTTGCTGGATTCGCTTGAAGGATTCCGACTGACGGTGTGTCCCTTTGACTCAGTCATTGAACAGTTCTCAAAGGAACAACAATTAGAACTTTGGCAGGTAAGGATTTAGGAAATAAAATTGTAAAAAAACATTTTCAGTTGCCTTTAAAGGGGATCATTGGACCGCTTTACTAACATATTGAAATTTAGGGGTGTTTCTTGCCTGGGGACCTAGTGACGAGTTACTCCAGTAACATGTTACAAATGAATGAACTACAATACGTTGAATCCAGTCTGCATACATTATTTGTTGCTATGTTGGGCTAGCCCCGGGGAAGCTTTCAGGTTCTCAAGAACCATCTTTGTTTTAAAAGTATGCATGAAATTAAAATATGTAAGTAAACCGGTCTATTATAGCAAATAATGATTACCATATTGTTAGCAGACATGAAAGTAGACCCACAAAACAATTTAGACTTTGAAATGGTTGAGGGTTAGAGCGTATACGAGGAAAATATAACTTCCTAACAAGACCTTGCATCACGGAAGCTCCACCATTTTCTCTCTACTCATTATTTTATCCCAAGATGAACTCCCCGAACCATTGAAAATATATTTGTTTGAATTATTCAATCGTAGAATATAATGTAAAAGAAACTATAACAAGTAATTTCACTTCTTCCATACTTATGTTGACTCAAACTTACCCAATATACACCTTTAACTGAGAAAATGGATGATAATTGTAATAAGAAATGTGTTGACTATACATCACAAGGAACGGAAAAAGATCCTCGAGAAGAATGTCTCGACATTACACCGGGAGGGGTTGTATAAATGCTTCAATTATTCTTAAATACAGCCTAAGGTGACTTCCTTCTTTTCTACACTTTATTCACATCTCTGGAAGATGAGTGGTAATAAAGACTACATTTAGACATTCAAATTATCATTAACCAGTGAAATCATATTACAAATGCGTCAGGCAGCATCATGACACAGAAAGTAAACAATTTGATTCAATTATTCTCCCTCAAATTGAAATTTGGAGATAAATGTCACGAGTTTTTTTTCCTGAGATAAAGAAAACTAGATTTCACGCATGACGGAAAGACGTTTAGCAATGTTATTGAGCATATTTGAATAGGTATCGTCCTACTATCATGGAGAAAGGACAATATAATCCTGCGTACTGCCGGCCTATCATACTTAATCATATTTATCAACACACAGGAAGAGGTGTTATAAAATAGTAACATCGACTTTTGTCCTTCATCTATAACTTGAATCATAAAATTACCATTATGACGACTGTCTCAATTATGGAGTATATGGAGTGTTGGAGAGAGGGAAAGAGAAAGATAGGAAACACATTAAACTTCTAACATTGAACAATGGTTTGTTTTTTTTAATCGTGAGAGTAGATATGTTTGCTACGAATAAGAGCTAGAATTAATTACCACCCAATAAATAATTGCTGCGATCAAGATGATTACATTTAAAGGGATTGGGTATCTTTGTCTCAGATTCTGAAACAAAATCCTGGATTTAGCTCATGCTGCAATCATAACTATAAACGTTTAGGTCCGTCGGGAACCCCATGACTTTTACAAGCCAAACGCCTGTCTGATTATCAAGATCTTTATGACTGGAACTCAAAATTTAAAAATTCGTTTTCCTAACGGTTTTTATAACACCACAGTCTATTGGGAAAAATTAGTATGGTAAAGCCTGTCACTCAAAGATTTTTACTTTCTTGAAGCACTTCATGATCACTTTAAAGCGCAATTTTGTTTCGGGCTTCCAATATTACAACATATCACGGACATAACACGGCCATGCATCTCAGATTTAACATCGTTAAACGATGCCTTTAAAGGTTAAGAGCATGAAGAACTAGATAAAGAAAAACGTTTGTAATATAAGAAAAACTATGAGGTTTTACAAATATACCGTGAATGCGTCATACACTCAAAAGTGCATCAAGTAGCTATATAATGGTTGTTAAAAAAATGTACAGTTGCTCTCAAGTCAACACCAGTAAACAATTGGAATTGATGACTGATTAAAGCGAACTTCTTCTGTTTCGAAAACGGACTATCATATTACGCAACATTACATAAGTTACGACAATATCCTCGTCCGTCTACGTTAATTGTTGTGAAGTATACAAAATTATTAGTCCGTTCACAATCTATCAGGTCGCTTGATTGTAATTCATGATATTGATGCGTTTGTCGTGTATTTTAAGAAAGAATGGATGGTGTCACAGTTTCCCAGAATATATATAAATACCGCAAAATATACAGATGCAATGCATTTTAGTTGAAAAATGTTAAGTGTTATCAGACGTATCTTGCCTGTTTCTACTTTCATAACACCATGAGCCTAGAAGGGCCTACCTATAGCAGGTCCGTTATTACATCAAGATACCTTGGTAATGTATAATTGTTGCCATGTTTAGGTAAATCTAAATTTTAAAGTGAATATAACATTCTTGAAGTATTATTTACGTTAGGACGATCTGTCGTGCGAGTTCGGAGATTTCCGTATACAGACGCAGATGCATACTTTGATCATACGCCTTCCGACACTTCTTTCAACTTGTCTTTTGAGCATCATCCTTCAGTTATCGGTCCGCTGTGGCTTAAATCTCTCTAATCTCTTTACAAATGTCTTCACATCTTCTGGGAATAAGCATAAACTTTTTTAAAGACAATTTTTATTTTTTTGGTTTTTACTCAATAGTTTTCTTATAGGGGGACCGCCCCCAGAAAAATCTAACCTAGGATATGCACGATATAGAAACGAAGAATATGCTTCAAAGCACCCTCAAAAGACAAAATAGCTGATATCGTACTTATCTTTTAAGGTTTAAGCTAGTGACATGATGGAGTTTAAGAATCGCAATTTTGTCATTCACATTCACGATTCTGTAAACTTTCGTCAAAAATTCCTGTTGATATAAATCACATTCTACGTTTTTTTTTAACAATTAAAAAGCAGTAATGTTTCCAGTGTGAAGATGAAAACTCGATCAGTTAAGCACCTGAAAAATCCAATTTCTAAATGAGGAAATGGAAACTTCTTCTTTTTTCTTTTGAAATAGGATTGTCATACCATTAGTTCTACTATATTTTCATTAATTGCTGAAAAAGTAATTATTACTATCTTTAAGATAATGGCTTGGATAATGGTGATAATGGAATAGTAGTATTAGTATAGTAAATGCAGGACAATGTAAATGATTATCATGCGTCTGCTGAAGATACGAACAAAAATAAAACAAATTAGGATGAATGAGAAGGTAATTAATATCTAGATGCGTGGTTTTCTCACAGACGTGATGTAAAACAAAAAGGCATATACATTTTTGTATACCGTTATTACATCGTCGCAATTTCCTTGGCAATTACATGTCTATTCAAAAATTGTTTTAATATAATAATAATAATAAAAAACTACTACTACTACTACTACTACTACTACTACTACTACTACTACTACTACTACTACTAATAATAATAATACATTTATATAGCGCAGCTTTTATATGCGGTAAATACCGTTATTTGGTTGGAACCATGATGGAAAAAGATACCCAGACAGAGTGAAGGAGGGAGAGAGGGGGAAGGAAGGGGGAGGGGATAGAGAGATAAAGAGAGATAGAGAGAGAGAGAGAGAGAGAGAGAGAGACAGACAAGAGCACAGATAGACGACAATAAAACGAGTTTCCGTTTTCACCGTTTTCAAGATGAACAGCACATGTACGTATATACGTAATGAGACAATGATGCAAACAATTTAAGAACATGACTGCAATCATAGCCAGGAAATGAGGCATATTTAGAGCAAAGGGCATCCTTAAATTACCATCTATCCAATTGAGGAGCCGACTAGGAACTATGACAGGCAAATAAAGTACCACACAAAGGATGTGCAGAGATGATATTGTGCTCTTCAAAAAAAGAACGGGTAGATGATATTTTACTCTCTGTGACGTACTTCGATATGCTATTTCTTCAATAATTGTATCTCTATTGCATTTCAACTCATAATCATAGGAAACTTCGCGAAAAAGCACTATACAGCCACACAATTGCGATTTATAATGAAATAATTCATTTTGGTATCATTCTCCATTATATACTGCGCACACTCTTTCTAGGCCTAACATGGAAATGCTGCCAGACGAATCTTATCATTGAACTTGCATTTGCACTAGTGTGATTATCAATTCAATCTATTGTCCTTTTTTCTATATAAATTGCTCATGACAATTTTACTTATCTTTTCCATAGAAAGCGTCTGACTTATTATGTCGACTTTGAACATGTTTAAAGAAATGAAGGAACGATTCCACGTGTTTAGAACATTGGAAAATGTTGTACTTCTTTCACCTACATATTTCGCTGAAAACCCGTTTCTTAGGGGGTTATTAAACTTTGAGCATTCGTCTGTTAAGTTCTTTGTTCTCATAAACTAGTTCATGAGAAATTTGCGTCAAATCTAGGTTATTTGTTTGCGATATGAAGACAACCCAGACAGCGTGGACATAACACCTGGATACAATCTAGTTGAAAGCAGATTGAAAGCCGTGATTAATTAGATATAAAACAATTTCAACGTGACAAAGAAATGCATAATCAGTTGTCATGTGACACTGAAGAGATTAATGGTTAGATACAAGATATATAACAAAAGAAACAAAAAGAACGTACTGTGTGTAAACAAAAAGAGAGAACAGAAAAGGGATATAGATGGCGGCGAATTTTGTTTGGGTGAAGTAGTGCGGAAAACATATGGATGGAAGATGTGGGGGAACAGGGGAAGGGAGTGGACCTTGTAACATGAAATTAGGAATGGGAACCTGGGGGGGGGGGGGTGTTTCACAAAGAGTAAGATCGACTTTAAGTTGGACTTAACTATGGCAGGCCATTCATGCCACTGTTTGCTCTCACCATTGACTGGCATTGGTCTCTCAAATGACGTACAAATCATGGTCACAAATCTACAGAATTTACATTTTTGGATAGTTCATTATTGAATAAAAATGTAATATCTAAAGATCATAATGGTGAAAACAGTGGCATGAACGGCCTACCATAGTTAAGTCCG